CCCCAACTCTCCTAGCCTGTCCTCAGAGCAGAGGTGCTCCAGCCCTTGGATCATCTTCATGGCCGCCTCTGGACTTGCTCCAATAGGTCCATGTCCTTCTTCTGCTGAGGACCCCAGAGCTGAAGGCAGTACTGCTGGGGGGGGTGGGGTGGGCTCACCACAGCAGAATGGAGGCAGAGGATCACTTCCCTCAATCTGCTGTCCATGATGCTTTTTATTAGGTGAAGATACAATTGGCTTTCTGGGCTGTCAGCACACATTGCCAGGTCACCCAATTTTTTTGTCCACCACTATCCCCAAGTCCAGTATCCCCAAGACCTTCTCTGCAATCCATTGATCCCCCAGCCTATATTGATACTGGGGAGTTCCCTGACCCTGGTGCAGGGCCTTGCACTTGGCCTTGTCAGACTTCAAGACATTTGCACAGGCCCACTCAAGCCTGTCACGGTCCCTCTGGATGGCATCCCTTCCCTCCAGCGAATCAACTGCACCACTGAGCTTGGTGTGGTCTGCAAACTTGCTGAGAGTGCACTCAGTCCCACTGTCTATGTCATTGCTGAAGATATTAAATAGTATTTGTCCTAGTACGGACCCTTGAGGGACACCACTTGTTACTGGTTTCCACTTGGACACTGAGCCACTGACTGTAACTCTCTGGATGTAGCCATCCAGCCAGTTCCTTATCCATCTCATATCCACCTCTCATTCCTTAGTCCATCCGTGAAACACATCTCTCTCCAATGTAGCAATAGGGATGTTGTGGAGGACCATATCAAAGGCCTTACAGAAGTCCAGGTAGATGACATCAGTATTTCAGTCTTGGAATCACTTACAGTTTAATCCAGTAAAGAGGAAAAGAGACAAGAATCCCTTCTGTAAGCATGTGGGCTACAGTGAAAACGGGCAAGGGGAACACATCTGTTCACACATTCTGGAATCCTAGCAGCTACCAAATTTTGCAACGTTTAGGAAATAAAAAACAACAGCGTCTGTACTTTTCACTGTGTACTACATAGAATGTAAGACTAGAAGGAAACAGGAAGCTCACAACATGTGACAGACGCTAAAGTTTCTAACGCTCTTTTACGTTTCAAATTAGATAGTAAACTAAGAAGATGGTCCTTTAGCTAGAAATCAACATTTTATACTAAAAAAGATCCATTCCAGAAGATAATTTTTTTTCTTCTATTTTGACTTAATGATAAACAGGAAAGTTACTAAAATACAGTAACAACCATTATGCTAAAACTCCTTTCATTTCGTACTTTCCAACTCTTAATAGCTTGGCTAAAAAGTAGTCCACAGATAGATCAAGACAGCTTAAAATATAAAGAACTCAGATATTTTAATTCAAGAAGCTAAAATAAAGTTTTACATGTTTTATGCAGAATGTTTTCGTTGGAATAATTCTGTTATGTTACTTTAACTTTTTTTGTACTTTCAGATGATAAGGAGCAACAGAATTTTAAATATAGGAAACAATATAATTGTTCAATTTCATTAAAATAAAACTGAGGTTTTTATCTACAAAAGGAGAATCTCAATATGTATCTCAAAAGGACTTCAGTTACTTATAAATGACAATCAGTTTATACTAAATACTTTTTACATATGAGAAAGTTATAATACATAGGATTACATGGCTTCTATATGCCAGCTGCAATGTACTCTGAACTCCAAATAAATAAAAATCTACATTTAGAAATACCTGCTATGTCATCAACAATTTCTGTGTATGTTCTACGAGCTATGTCAAGGAACTCATTGATGTTAGGCTTAACAGCATAGCATTTCTGGGTCCTCATATTCAGACATCCTTTTGTGTACCTTGTGTCATCATTAATTACAGTTGTAATCTTTTCAAGTATAATTCCGAATCTGCAATATTAGTTGTATCGCTAATTAGCCACATAGTGCTTTACGATTTTTATTTGCAATATCGTCCCAAAATTACAAATAAAAGTATTACAAATAACTGAAGCAAATTATCTACTGTTAAAACCAAACACTAAATTTCATGTCTATTTTGACCTCAGGATGAAGGCTGTCCAAAGATATCACTCAAATCTTTGGGAGATGCAAGTTATTTCTTAAATATACAGGCAACAGTTGATTTTTGCATTATTATGAGGACTCTAGGAAACCACTACTTCTGCCTTTTCAGAATTATTTTTAATGGAGTGCAGTTCATCAGCAATTCCAATATCATAGCTAACTTTGTTTTGATTTTTTCCCTGTATTTGTTCGACAGTTAAAAATTAGAATTTTTGACAATTAAAATCAGCTTTTAGGCAAAAGAACAGAACTATACCTGTAACTACAAATAAGCAAAGGTGCAACATCTTTAATCTTCCAGACATTCTTAAGAAAGATGAGAGTTTCTAACATACTAAGTAAAGTATTATGATCAATACCTTGTATCTTCAAGAGAATTGTAATAAGCCTTTAGCAGCGGAGTGTTACAGCTTCTTAAAGCAGCCTATTGAAGATTAAAATATGGACATGAAGAGTTACTTCTTTTTGTAGCCCTTTTAAAGGACTGAAAGTTTTTAGATTCACTGAGGCTTACTAGCAGTTGCATAAGTAGCTTACGGAATCTAGGCTTCAGTTTCAGTTAAATGTTATAAAAATCAATTATTCAGGTAATGGTAGGAATCCCTTTCTTGAGTATTAGACTTAATGCTTATTTTCAACTGCTTATAAGAATTAACAGACTACGTTGGCAATGTTGTGTTCTGCAAGAACACGATTTACTTCGAATTTTTTTTGTGGACTCCATGATCCTTATCAGTCCTTTCCAACTTGAGATATTCTATTCTATATTTATGAAACTGAACAAACTGCACTGTATAAAAACAAGGACAAAACAGTCTGTACTTCATTAAAAAAAAAATAATTTACAGAGATAGCTTACTTTTAGAGGCTCCACAAGTTCCAGAGTATGCTTCAGGTAGATTAAATTAGTTATTTTTGATTCAGCAGTTTTAACCTGTTGAAAAATTTTACAAATATTGGAGGTGCTTCTATGTCAGCTTGTTTAAAAAAAGAACTTAAGAACTAGCAGAACTCATATTGTTAACTGTAACAGGTTTATACTTTTAACGAAAATTGCTAAAATACTCTTTATAAGCTCACTTTGACAACCCGACGTATAACTGCATTAAAAAAATGTTTACCTAAATTTTACATTGCCTAGTGTGATAGTTTGCCCATTAGTAGCTAATATTTTCATATATTTGCACCGATAATGACTGACCCTGAGAACACTGTCTTAACCCAAGCCGTGAAAACTTCTTTTCATCTTCTAAGAATACATAGCTCTGTATAAACTCGACATAGCTTGTAGACCCTTTCAAAGGGTCCACCATCCCCGGAGATGTTCAAAAAACATTTAGATGTGTCACTTCGAGACATAGTTCAGTGGGTTTAGTGGGCATGGTGGCATTGAGTAGACTGTTGGACTTGATGATCTTTGAGGTCTCTTCCAACCATAATGATTCTAAAGCAAATACATTATGCATTATAATTAAGAAGCATAGCCCTTTTCATAAATGCTGTTAAACACAACATAACCCACTTTGGTTGACTTACGTTTGGTTAATATATTTATACCCATAAACAACTGTCCATGTAATTTAAAAAAAAAAAAATCCAATAAATGTTTACAAATTTTGCTTACAGTAATGATTGCTCCTCAAAATGTTTTGTCCACGTACACATTCTACCTTGTTTTGTATGCCCCATTAACATTTATGATAAAGAATTTTGCTGCTGATATTAAAGCATAGCATATGTACTGCATAGTATATGCACTGTGTGAGAGGATTTTAAGACACCAACATAGATAAGCACATTGTTTGGTTCTGAAGAAGATCTAGTGTGTTTTCAACATGAACACAGGAGTATAACCCCGTGTGAAATCTTCTCTCATTCATATATAGTAACTCTTTATTCTTGTGATAGAGGGCAGCTCTTCTCTTATCTAACCTTCTACATAAAGTTGTTTTCTGTAAAAGAGAGGCCTAAACAATGCTAAATGTACGACAGAAGAATCATAATCTGCAAATAAATATGGGGCCTAAGTCGGACATCAAAAGGACAGATACAGTCATATGTGAAGAGCGGGTATTTCGTAATGGAATGCACCTTTGCTAAAACAGTTCTTATAGGAACTTCAACAGCACTGGTGTTAAAAGTGGATCTTTGTACATGCTGCACTTTAGGGTCAAAGGGAGAAAATGAATGAATACAATCATAGTTGATAACTCTTCTATATAATGTTACTTCTTTATGATTCATTAATTACTAAAATGCAAGCCTATCCTTTATAGCGTCTGAAATTAATTTGTCCACAGTCACTCTGATATGTAAAGCATGACGATTCAGAGAAGCAGTTGACTTTGGTTTTGTGCTAGAGACTTAAGTCCTACAGATTTAAGTGCTACGCCAGTGGGTCAGCCCTAGTTTAACTTTTGTATTTCCTGGAAACTCATTTAAACCAAAAATACTGGTACCTTCCCCCGGTGAGAGAAGGAATCAATCTGTCACACACCTGGAACTTCATTAGGCACAGATTCTATTGAATTTGTTCTTCAGATGGGTGACCAAGTAATCCAGAGCAGGTGGTCCTCATTTCCACCAAAAGTTGGATGTTGATCCAACTTCTAAGGATCCTTCTTGATTGAGACAAGAGAGTCTTCTAAGGAAATCTAGGTGTTTTTTTTGTCCAGATACCTTTAGTTTGCTTATATATGCAGATTTCATACGAGGAAGTACTTGATTTCACCAATGACATGATTTTTCAAATAACACATCTCAGCAAGACTGTCAGTTCACAGTCCTCCTTAGGATGAGAGAACACTCATGTTAAACATACCACTCACAGGTCTAGTGATTGAAATTGTAGGTTTTTCAGATGACTACCTCATCTGTTGACTGGTGGAACATTTTGCAATGAAAATTTTTATGGGGAGTCAGAGTGGAACATACTGAATGGATTAATCTAGCATTTGATAAAAGCAACTGAGTTAGCACTTGAATGAACACATCACATGAATAGTAAGCTCTGCTATATCAGAGCCAGTCAAGACTGGAAGCACTGCAGTTAAAAGTTTAGTGTACGTGATCCTACATATACATAAAGGCATCAAGTTTGACAGTTTCAGTCATACAGCTGATCTTTCATTCATGTTACAGATTTCTATGAGGAAAGCTGGGAGCAATAATGACATATCCAAAAGCTGAATGTTTAAAGAGATTTATCTGCATTTATTACAGTCCTGCTGGAGTCCGTACCTGATTTCTTTAACTGTCATTAGACAAGTCATTTATCTAAGCAGGTAACTCAGCATGTGAGAAGATGCTGAGAGGCAAAAGAGTTCTAAGTATCTATGATGCTGGCATACCAGCATAAACACAGGCAAGCATATGCCTCAAAAGCATTGGCAGAAATATCCTATTCAAGTACAGCAGGCAAATGTAACTTATAATGGAACGGTTACAATATGCTTAGTAGAAAAAAGTTGAGGTTCAGGTATCTCAAGCTCACTGTGGTTAACTGTCGTGTCTGCTCCCAACCAAGATCCAGCAGTAAGCTACATGTATTTATCCTGTTTTGGTATTTGTATTGCATGCGTTAACGTGCATTAATACATGAGGCAAGGTCTGATGAAAAAAATATCTTTCTTTGAAACACGTTAATAGTCACTAGGAGGGAAAAAACTTTTATACCCCCTTCAACAATTTTTGTTTACAAAGTAGTTTAGAACAGGAGCTGACCTCTAGTCTAACAAAGACACATTGGCACACTGAAGGTAGAGAAACCTTAGTTTAATTAATCACAACTATCTCCTGGTTAAAAACAATACAGCATGATTTTCAAGGTGAAAGATTAAATCCCGTCTTGAGCTCCTAGAAGACTTCAAAGGTGGAATTTCCTATAAATACTGAGAAGGAAAGAGGGGTTCTAAGGAACTTGAATCTGAAGGTATATTCAGTAATTCTCCCAAAGGTGATTTGTGATGGAAGCCTTCTCTGTTGGTCAAGTTCCTGAATGCACTCTAATGGATGTAACATGAGGCATAAGGCGCTCACACAGACTGAAACCATCGCTGCCACTGTCAAGTGGCTAAGTGATAAAATGTCTTCATGCTGAAGCCTTAACTTAAGCAGATAAAGTATTGCTTGTCTTTCAACTAAACTATGTTGTTGTAAACATTTATAGCTTTATTGTCTGGTTATGCTTTTATGAATAAATGCTTTTATCTGCATTTCACTTTGGTCTGCCTTGTAAGATATGTGATTTAAGGTAACAGATAAAAGCAGGACACTCTTTTAATGCTTAAGACAGGACCCTGAGAAAACTTAAAGAGTAATTAGTTCTCCAATACATTACTTATTCCTTGCATGCAAAGGTTAACAGAGAAGCATGGGTCAAGCTGAGAACTGGACACAGGAGGGACTTCCAGACACTATTCGTAACCTGTGTGCTTGAGACATAAGGTTCTCTGCTTACAAGAATACAGAACAGAACCATAGAATCATTTAGGTTGGAAAAGACCTTCAAGATCATCGAGTCCAACCGTTAAACTAGCATGGCCAAGTCCACCACTAAACCATGTCCCCAAGTACCACACCTATACGTCTTTTAAATACCTCCAGGGATGCTGACGCCACCACTTCCCTGGGCAGCCTGTTCCAGTGCTTGACAACCCTTGAAGAAATTCTTCCTAATATCCAACCTAAACCTCCCCAGGCGCAACTTGAGGCCACTTCCTCTTGTTCTATGGCTTGTTACTTGGGAGAAGAGACTGACCCCCACCTCACTACACCCTCCTTTCAGGTAGTTGTAGAGGGCGATAAGGTCTCCCCTCAGCCTCCTTTTCTCCAAACAACCCTGGCTCCCTCAGCCGCTCTCCATCAGACTTGTGCTCCAGACCTTTCACCACCTTCATTGCCCTTCTCTGGACATGCTCCAGCACCTCGAGGTCTTTCTTGTAGCAAGGGGCCCAAAACTGAACACAATCAGTTAAGAAAAACTTCTGTCTCATTTGATACTGCTTATGCTGTGCAAATGAGTATATTGTTTTCTGTCAGCTGGTTGTTGTTCAGAGGAAACACTTAACTCCTGCATGAAAAAGCTGCTCTTAGCTCATACAATGTCTGTGTCTTGGAAACTAACACATAAAGTCCCATTTCTGGCTTTGTATGTTTACATTATTGACTTAGTAATTTAATATAGACTTAAGTTTACCTGTATTATAAGCACAGCTGAGCAAAGTCAGAGTGCTTCTTAAGAACCTCTTTCAAAATAGTTTTCAGGCAATAAAGACTTATTTCTATTGATTTGTATTACATGAAAACTAAGCAACTATTTAATTTCTAGTAAGAAAGATGCTTAATTTTCTTTAGTCTATCAAAAATTGTATTAACCTCCAAAAATAAGAGTAAAATTCTGTTACATGTTTTTTCCTTTTATGCTGCTGTGAAGAAAATTCCTTTCTCTGACGCTACTACTGTCGAATAGGATGTACACTTAAGAAGAATAAAGACAGGGAGTGATGAAAAAGTAAACATTTTTGGAAGTCAATTTGCATATATTAAGATGAATGTGATATTGAAGCAAACCCAAATTTTTCTAACATTCTCCTATGAGAATCTTCTACTGCTGTAAAATAAGATATACTCTCAATCTACCATAACATTATTCCACGACTTTTTAAGTGCAGTCTTTTTCTTAGCATATCATGCATGTTTATAGATATCACATTTATATATTGCATGTTATAGCGAGATAACTGATCATCTAAGGTGTATTTCAAAACATACCGTATCCTGCTTTGGAATTTGTACCAAAACTGAAAGTAGTTGTTCTGTATCCAGAAATTTTGAGATAACTGTAAAACAAAAGTAAACAGATCAGAAATTTAACTGAAATTATAAAAAAATCTATTTTTTTAAATGCACACAATTACTCAGTGATACTTATGCTAATCTTTTTCTTTCATTCTATCTTCACAAATTATTTACCAGGGAAAAAAACAGGTTAAAAATAGTTGCCATCTAAATTATTTTGTCACAGCTATACTTACTATACCTAAGCATGCAGTGATTATTCTACAGGTGGACAAATATCAATTCAATAATACTCCTTTTGTTAGATTGAATCATATCTCTTTTGTGATAAAAATTGCATCCAACTTCAGGTGGACTAACTCTTGCTCTGGTACTGTATTTTTTTCACATTTGTCCAGACCACTATGTTTTATGAAGCAATGAGAAAAAAAAAGCATACACAAGTATTATATCAGTGACGCCTTTATTTGTTTTTAATGTATGTGTTATGTATGCTTGTATACTTCCAACATAGCGCATATCTAGCCACAGAAGTAAAGAGACAAACTCAAATTCTTCGAAAAAGCTATTGGCTCACTGACTTCTATCCGCTTTACCAGAGAAATTCACTTACTAGCAAAATACTTGAGAAAAATATCACTATCATAATAAAGATTACTTCAAAAAATTAAGTGTCCACTATGTAAGTGTCACCTGACAAATCATGAAAAAAACCCAACTTTTCAAACATACTGAGTCACACTGCCTACTTTCATAGATCAGAAAAAAATGTTTAAAAAGAAATATAATACTATATATTAAAAAATAAACTACTACCTGCTTGAAGGCCAAAAAAGAGCTCCTCATCCTGGAGTAATTCCTGAACACAGTCTAGTCTTGTGTTAATTGTTTCAGCATCAACTAGTGGCTCCAGGATATTGGATCTAAGTCTTCGACTTCCACCTGGAGTTTTAGTGTAATTTAGGACACCAAAAAGCGTGTGACTGTTCCTTTGAAAACAAAATAGATGTGAAGAATACACTTACAAAAATAGAGATGGTAAATGTCACGTGACATTTTCAGGCAAGAGTATCCTATAAATTTGGGGCATGCTTTTGGGATGCTTAGCACCTTCCTATTTGCCATGTGTATTATACAAACTACAGTAGTTTAGGAAGTCAGGTAATTTAGTGTAATTTATAATTATATAATATTAGCCCTCATTAAATCATTTTCCCAAAGTATAGAAATACATTTGTACTCAGTATTTTCCTCCTTTTTTGTAGTAGTATTCCGTTCCTACTGCAGTGGTGCAGTTCACATTTTTCCTCTCGATTGAACTACTTAAAAACAAACAAATCAACCTTACAAAAGGAGACAAATTATAATCTGAGATCCATTACTAATCAGAACATTTTCATTAAAATACATTTCTGAAAATTATTTAAAATACTTAGAAGTCCAAGAGAGAAATAAGCTTTGATCTTATTACTTTTTTAAAGAACTGACTTACAGTCAGTACAGGAGCCAAATAACAAGCTCATGATTTATAAATATTATTTTCATGTTCATGGCTTTTGCATGTTACACATCCCAGGATCTACACTTAAGGGTTGATTTTATCTGTTGAAAATAAACAGCCTATAATATTTACATCTAGTACATACTTAAACTGTTTTAGAAACCTGAAACCTTCAATGCTATTGGCTTGAAGAAAGGTCAGTGAAAACACTGGGGCCATATAAACTTATTGATTGAAACCAGAACTTGAATAGGAAGAAATCTGATACAAGTATATTAAACAGCCAGCATAAAGATAGATACATAGTACAGAAACTCCTGAAATACCATGGTATAAAAGAACACTGCAATAGTCAAGAGATTTTAAAAAGCGGGGAAATGCAAACCAATTTTATTAAGGACATATTTACCATAAGATACAACTCATGACAACACTTAAGAGGAACCTCTACATTTGAGACAGTACCCACACTGCCTACCTTTAAGCAACTGAGGGCTCGTTTCCCTATACAGTAAATGAAGACAGACAAGCCCCTCCAGAATTAATACTGGCACAAGAACTTGATTTAGGTGTTTCTTGTGCATGTCTGTACTATTAACTTTTACCTGTTAATATCTAACCAGGTTTTAGGGGTAAGATCTATGTAATGGAAATAGCTGTGTGTGGCCTGGTTCAAGCCTGCCACCAGGTCAGCAAAAATTCTGCAGCAATAATGCTAAAAAAATAAGAGAATCTTAAAGCAGTTTAGAATTGCTCAGTTCCTGCTGTGATCTCCTTCCTCTCAAAACCATCTGTGGAATTAGAAGCCGCTTTCAGAGAAATACTGCTCTGAGGACACCAATCTAAAGTTCTTGCAGTTACATATGAAGCAACGGAGCAAACAAGAAGGAACCAGGGACAGAGCATGACAGACGAACAGAAAGAAACTATTGTTACCTCCCACTTCTAAAGAACAGATCTGTGTACTCTGCAATCCTCATAAAAAATTAAAAGAAAAAAGAAAAGAAAAAAAGCAGTGGCAGAGGGTCAGGATGATAGATCCAGTCAAAGACATCCCTGACCACAGCAGGGAGGCTGGAACTAGATGATCTTTAAAGGTCTCTTCCAATCCAAGCCATTCTATGATTCTGTGACATCTCTCCAAGTGGAAAGCTCTTACAAGTAATACTTGGAGACTGAGGAATCCCTTTTTATATCAGGGTGATGAGTGGACTTCTAAACAGAAGTAGATCTCAGAACTTCGCAGGCAGCAAAGTGCAAGTTCCAAGTCTTTCTCTCTCTAACTAGAAGTATAACGGTCTTGACAAAGTAAGCTTGCAGCTGCTTCTGCCTGGAAGGCAAGTAACTCCTGGTGAGGGAAACGCTCCAAGCATCGTTCTCATTGTGGAGAACTACCATGCAATCAAGTACCATATTGCACATGACCATCATTATAGAAATTACTTTGTTTGCCACTATTTGTTAGAGCTAAAGGAAAACAAAACAACCTTTCAAGCCTGGAGTGTTTCTCTTGTGTAAAATGAGTAAAATCTCCGCATTTTAATCCAACATAAGCAACTTCTTGCGGAAACGTTGCCTCTTTCATTTCACAATCATGAAAATTCACATCAACATAAATTATAAGTTTGAATAATATATATATATATCAATGTAGAGATGACTATGTATCATCTGTTCCAGCCACTCAGTTGTAGGATTTTCTATACTAGAAATTTTGTGCTGAGTTGTAATGCATATCTCTGTCCACGTTTTTTTTTTTAAAAGCTCTGAATGATATATAAGTTCTGTCATACAGAAACAAATATAATGGTCAGCTCTTTGACACAAACATCAAGGAAACTTGGTGAAATACAACTTTATAAAAGTGTAATTTGTTAACTTAAATATTCTTACCGAGAATCTCTGTTATTAATTACTAGTTCAAGATTTTGCGCTGATGATGAATCTATCATAGCTGTTTTCTCACTCCCCTGGAAACGCACCTTGAGTGATTTAGGAGCATAAACTGAATTTTGAATAAATTCAACATACTTTAGCAAAGCTGCAGCAGCTGCAAGACAGTAATACCTTGGAAAGAAACAATTTTTAATGAATGTTGAATAGTGCTATTTAAATACCACAAAACCAAACGCTGCACTATAGAAATCACAGTCACACTTCTGCTTGACAACTACTGGGATTGATAGCACTGAAAAAGTGTGTTTTAAATATGCACTAACCCATGTATAGTGCACATATACGCATGTAAATCAAGTATTCATGAATGTCTGAGTCTCTGTACACTCGACACTCCACACTATATAGCTGCTATTGTGAACATAAATATTTCAGGAGTTACATGTGACTTGAAATGAATACCCAGGTCAGCAAGTATCACTACTTCAAATTGTTGGTACAAGAAAAACATTTGCTGAGGCCAGAAAGAAAGGCAATCATAGCTGTTAAGTTGTATCTTTAAGGAAAGAATGAAAAGGAGAAAGTGGAAAGCTGTGAAAAATAATAAAAAAACCCCACCAACCCCCCCCC